AGAACGGGTGTTTGCTGCATAGACCTCAGCCAGGACACAGGGAACAATCACTCTGTGGGCTCTGCACTAAATACAGCTTAAAGAGGAAGGAGGAAGAAAACTTTCACCTTGTGGATGTGCATTTGAGGTAGCTCAATGCACCCACTTTGCTTGTGTGTCAAAATATGGATCAAGAAGCAAAGCCTCAAGAAAGACAGTAACACAAGGCAATGTGAAGTCATTGGAAGAGACCTTAGAGATTAGGGTGTGGGTTTTTCCCTCCAGCATGCTTAGGAACATGAGGGCACAAAGATTTAAAAAAACCTGAGCCACCACAAATTGCTCTAGGCATGAAGCTACTCTGTAAATTGAAACGTTTAAAGTATCTTCCAAAGGCAAGAATCAGGTTTACAAATGCTTAAACATCTAGTCTTACTTGTCTTTTTTTTTCCCCTCATTATTTAAAAAGGTATTTGAAAAGTGGATGCATGGCGAGAAGGGAGATGTGTTTGACAAAACACATTTGATTCAGCCTCTTTGAAAATTTTAAGAGACAGTCAGAATGGTATGGCCCTTTGGACCTCTCTTCAGCACAAGTCAGATGCTGTGGGCATGCTTTGGAAGAGGGAACAACAAGGAACTGATTATATCTGGGCCACAGATGTGAAACAGATCTGCAAACCTTTTAGCTTCTATTTTTTAAAAGCTCATTCTTGAGTACTCATAATACCAGATCCTACAGTTGATTATAATTTTGCTTTGTAAGTGGTTGTGAGAAACTGGTTTAGTAATTCAGTAACTAGACTGTGGGAAGCTGTGCAAATTCCTTCAGCAACTTCATCTTGTGGGGACTAAAATGTTCCTCAAACATTTAGCTACTTTTGTTGTTCAATAACCTCTCTCTCTGTTTGTCACTAGCAGGAGCAGGACTTTGAATGTTGAATTGAATTTTAAAGCAGAAGTCAAAATCCAGCCATTTCAGGGCTGCTCTCTGGTCAAACATCACTTTATTTTTCAACTGTGTTACTGAGGAAGGAACCTGATTCAAGCTGGGCTTTCTCCAAATCAAAAGCACATGAGGTTGCCCATGGCTATTTAGGTGATTTACCACCCACGACCAAGGGAGGGCTCAGTCAGGACAGCCACTGGTTGTCTCTGGCTGCTGTTAAATGTGGGATACCCCCTCGAGCAAACTCAGCTCGTTTAACCCTCAAGGCTTATTTCTTGTATATGAAGCCATGACACTTGTCTTCTGCTCAGATGGTGTGATGGTGGGACTGCTGGTGGCACTGGGTGTTACTGGTCTCTTCCCACAGTGACACCAGTCAGGGCTCAGTTGCAGGGTGGTGATTCCTCTTCTAGATTTTGGGACAGCAGAAAAAGAGGTCCAAAAAATTCTGCTACATCTACCTAAGCTGGTGAAATGGCTTTTCCCTGAGCATGTCTCACCTTCCTCAGAATAAAAGCCAGTGACAGCCTTGTCCAGACATCTTTCTCCTCAGAAAGGAAATGTTGTCCCTCCTCATGTTCACAGCTGTGGGGATCCATCACAGGTTCGTGGCAGTGCTTGAGGGAGGCTGCTGTCCCCCTGAGCTGGGGAAGGGACAGCAGGGGCAGGGATGGGCTCTGTCCTTAAAGGACCCTCAGCACCATATGCTGTGGGGGTGGGTTGAGAAGAAGGAAGGGAGGAAGATGGGCTACATAGAAATGGAGAGAGAAAATAAATTCAGTCAGAAGAATAGTATGTCAAGAGGCATGAAAAGGTGAAAAAGCTGTTTTCTTGTTTTCCATGGCATTAAGGGACAATGCCCTTTGAGTGCTTTGCTGATTCCCTTTACCACAGGGCCTTGGCAGGGAGCGAGGCACCGGAAGGATCTTTGCTTCCATCCCAAAGGCAGTTTGTAATCTGATTCCAGAAATGGGTCTTCAAGCTGCACAGAAGCTCTGTAGCTTTTTTCCACCCCCCCCCCCCTTTAACAGCTTAGCACCTTTTAAACCTGGCAGAGTATTCTGGGAGCTGGGCCAGGACTCTGCCCTGGGCCCTACCCCATAGTCCCCATTGTCATGAGATGTCATCTTCTGCCGAAGAGGAGCAAGAGTCATCCCACGGCTGTCCCCCAGGGGTACTGACCAGCCAAGGGCTGCCTTGCCCTTGATCAGTGGTACAAGCGAGTGGGGAGAAGGCAAGGGATGTGCAGTGCAGTGGGTTGACCCAGAGTCTTGGATCCCAGGTAGGACACAGCTGCTGGTACAGGATTCTGCCTCACTGCCGAGGTCAGTTTTCCATCCTGCTGTGCTCTGCTCTTTCCAGTTTCTAGCAGCTGGTCTTGCACTGTGTGGCATGGATGTACCTGGGGTGTGAAAGCAGCCAGGAGGCAGTGAGCTTTGCCTCAGAGGGCTGGGGTGCTTCTTGCCTTTTGCCCATCCTTCTCTTCAGCCTCCCAAGTCCAGGCATCGGTGTGCAACTGGCTGCATGCGGAGCTTCCTCAAAGCCAAAGCTTTGCTGCAGTGGAGAGGAAACCAGATGCAATCTTGGCCTCTTTTCACAAGACTGTAAGTCAGTGGCAGCTGGGATCCTGTCTAATTAATTATTTTCCAGGGAATAATAGGCAATGTTTTCTGTTTGGTCTCTGTAATGAATCCATCATTTCTTTAGGTATGATGTGCAGACAGACACGGAGAAGCAGCCGGTGTCCTCGGCTCTGTATTCATGTTGGTGTCTGGCTGAGCAGCTTCATTCTGGGATGGGAAGCAGCTGAGATCTCTGGTTTCACTATGGGGCCATTCCTTTCCCAAGGGAGACAGGAGACTCATCACTCCTCAGAAACATCACAAAAACTGCTGACCCTGAAAACATGGAGTAATCTGCAATTTCTAGAGTGCCTCCCTTGTCCTTTCCTCCTGCAGCTGTTTCCCAAATGGTTGACATAAACTCGGAGCACTTTTGGGTTCACAGAGCCTCTACATCAGTGACTGCTGCAAAGGCAGAAACTTTCTCCTCCATGCTGCAGTATGAGAGCTGCAGTGTGCTGCTCCTGGTGGGTTTCTCCTCCCTTGACTGTTGTCTATAAGCAGCACAGGCTGTGCTGTGGTACAGCACCCCCAAACAAACCCCTTCAACCCTGTGTCTGGGAACTGCAAGGAGGTTCTGCATAACTTGGTGTTCTTTTCACATAGAACGTGTTAGGAGGATCTTCACTGTCACTGGGGAGAAATAAGGCCAGGTTTTGGAGTACTTTGGGTATTAACTTGACAGTGGTGGACTAATGGTCAGACTCAATGATCTTAGGGGTCTTTTCCAACCAAAATGATTGAATGGTTCTTTGAGGAAACTGATCAGCTTGAAGCACTCATGGTTGGATGAGGGCAAAATACAATTCTTGTCTTTATCTATATAAAGACCTGTTTAATATGTCTAGTAACATGCTGGAGCAAAATAATTATTTGTGAAAAGAGACGTGCTTGTTAAGCATTCAGTGCTGCCCACGTACATAAATTTGTATTTTTTTAATAAAGGGGATTTTGCAGGTTCCTCATCCAAATGTGCTGACTGTTTCTTCTGAGTGTATGGTGGGCAGGGTTAGGCTGGCTTTGTTCCTCAGGGCCACCAGTGCCACCAGTGCCTTTCAAATGCCAGGTGTTCCTACTTGTGATAGAAGAGCCCAGGAGCATCTGGCTTGGTGTCCTGTGTGTCATCCCTGTCCCTGCAAGCAAAACACTCAAATTCAAGCTGCCCTCTCCTTCACAAGGGCCTTTGTGTCCTTCAGCTGTTTGGTCATTAGGATCTAGGGGCAGACAAGGTGTTATAGTTAAATGGGAAAATCTTTGCTGTCCACCCATCCTCATTGCTGCAATCCTTCCTCTGTGCCAATGCTTTCCTAACTTTTTGTGTGATTGTCCTGAAAGCTGGTGATAAACAGTTCCTGTTTGTGGGCAAAGACAATGCTGAGGACTGTAATGGCAGACTGAGAGAAGAAAGAAAGGGCAGCCCCATCCCTGGCACTATGAAGGAGTGGCAGCGGTAGGATTAGCTCTTTCCCTGCATAACTCAAGGGAAACTTTCCATAAACCACTGGCACCACTCCCCAGTATGAGTTCAGCCTCTGCACTTCTACATTATTTATGTCTTTTCCCCCTAGAGTTCTGTTGCATTGATGTGTTCAAATGCCTGTGAAACACCTGTGCACTTTGAACATGTCCCTAGTGCTGTCTGCAGGGTCTGCCTGGATAATCTGTGCCTCTCAGAGCACCTAGAGTGGGGCACTTCAGGACAGAGGGGCATCCACAGTGGGAGAAGAGCACACACAAAGCACTCTGGCACTCAGCACATCTGGAGATTGTGCCAGTTAGGAAAGTCAGGAGAGGAACTTTTTGTTATTCTTTGTGTTTGAAGTGACTGACGAGGAGGCATAGGACCATTGCAGGCTGTTACCTTATGCAGGGTGAAACTGTGCATGTTTTTTTTCCTGGAAATAGCCCAAAGGTAAAGATAAGCTCTTTTCTCAGGTTAGTAGCTGTCCCTTAATCACAGGCCAGGAGACTACCAGAGGGTTATGTCTGCCTCTTCTTGCTCCTTATCAGTGTGGGTGAATGAGACCTTGAGTCCTGCTTGTTCCCTCTCTGAGCTGGGATCCTCCAGCAAATCTTGATGAAAAAGCAGAAGGAGAATGCTGGTGCTCTGTCAACCAGCAGAGAGTAGGGTGTGGAAGAGAGGAGGAGACCTCCATGCTGACAGCATACTGAATTTCAAGACTTTGGAAAGTTTTTATCATCCCAGAGCAACCAGTTGATTGTTCTCCCTGAACAACTTAGTTCAACTTCTAGGCAACCATAAGGAAGCACAGAAGAGCAAATGGTTGACCTGGGGGCTTTGCTGCCTTGTATATTCTTCTAACAATCTGTACGTGAAAAATACATGTTGAGGGTTTGCTGCTCAGCGAGGAGCTAACTTGGCCTACAGTCATCTACCATGCTAGCACAGTATTCATTCAAGTGCATAGAGAAAGAGAGAAATCCAGCTATGTGTTGTTCATACTGGTATTTTCCAGCAAGGGGATATGGCACACATGGGAACATATCACTACTTCAGCTTTTTTATACCAGTAATTTCAAATTTCTATTTCAGCTAATGTAGAGAGAGAAAATAAAAGAAACTGATCAACAGGCAGGAAAAAAATCTATAAAATCTTGCTTTGCAGTTCATCAGATAAAGGAAATATATAATGTGTAAACCTTGTTTCTCATCAGGCTGATTCACATTTGTGTAACTCTGATTCTTCTGTCCCTCACACTGTAATTTTCCCTCACATCACATACCTCTGTCCTAAGCCATTATAAGGATGGTCAGAACAATGGTTCTTGTTTGTAGCAAGAGAGGAGATGTGTACACTACCTATGCTAGCAACTCTGAACAACTGGAGAACATCTTTATAAATGTATTTATAAATGAATTTATAAAGATAACACCATCTCTGAACTCTCCATTCATTGCACTATTGCCAAACATAAGAAGCTAAGACAATTGAAATCTGCCAGCATGAGAAAGCAGGGAGACCTAATGCTGCCACAGTGACCTGCACATGGATGGTGCTGCACTCACCAGGACCATGGGACAGACTTTGTGGGTGACCCCCTTGACTGGTACCCTGAACTCCTTCTCAGCCTGCAGTCAAAAGAGGCTTCTCACATGGGATATCTGAGTCTCTAGGCAGGGAGTAACTGTGCAACTAAATATTCAAAAGCCAAACAGTTTGAATCCCTCTGTTGCTCACACCCCAGTGCAACTCATCCACTATCTAATATGTTTGGATGGATCTGTTCCCTCCTGACACCTCAGTCATGGAAAAGATGCTACATGGACTTTGGGTGAAGAGTCAGCAAAAGCTGGAAGGTCATGGGGAATAGGAGTGCTTCAGGGTGGGCCCCTGTGGATGTTTCCATTGGCTTGGCTCAGTGCCATGATCTTCAGTGGTTTGGACTCACACTGGGCTCTGAGCTGGACCAGCCTGTCCAACAGTTCAGGAACTCAGGAGCTTTGTGTCTCATATCAGGGCCCCTGCACTGACTCCAGCTGTGGCCTGAGCTTTCAAGAAGAAAGAGGTTCAGACCCAGTGTTTGGTTTTGCATTGCACTGCCAGATAAGAATATCCTGTCGTTATGTGGAATCACTGAAAACTTTAATAGCATCCCTAAAACCTCCCTCCCCTCCCAAAGCATTTTTCTGGCTCTCAGCATATTAGGGAGTAGCTACAGACTCCTGCAGCACAACTTGCAGGATTGAGTGGTCTTGGCAGAGTAACTGCAAAGGGCATTGTGTTTAATAAAAGGGCTAAACTTTATATTTAGGCTTTTCCCTATGTCTTGAAATGAGATTTGGTCTTTGGATGTTAAGTACTGGGCTGATGAACACAGAAAATACAAACTGGCTCCCTGCGTCCCTCTGGCAGCAAGCAGGCAGGCACTTTTCTCCTGCTCTGGGACACTCGGGGCAGATTCCCTGCAGATTCCTACTGTCCTTACTAAGGAGGCATGATTTGCAGCGGTGCTGGGTGCTGGTGCTGCCCTCCGCAGGGGCAGTCCCGGTGGCTCAGCACCGCTGGGAATCAGGCGGGGGGGGGGCCCGGCAAGGGCAAGGGCAGGGGGAGCGGGGCCCAGGGGAAAAGAGGAGCAGCGGTGCTTGCTGATGCTCAAACTTAGGTCTTCCAATGGAGGGACCTGCCACAGGGCCAGGGCTCTCGGGCCCCACAAGTCAAACTGCACAGAGTCATAGTTAGTCATCATCGTCGTCATCATCGTCGTCGTCATCATCATCATCGTCGTCATCATCATCGTCGTCGTCGTCATCATCATCATCATCTTCATCATCGTCATCATCTTCAGTATTTATCTTCCCAGAAAGCACATCCTCTATCCAGTCCTCCAGCTCCTCGGCTGTGGGCAGGTCGTCATCGTCTCTGATGTCCATCCAGACGCTGTCAGCCTGTGGGGATAGGTGATGAGGGGTTAGCTGCCCTCATGGACACACAGGGAAGAGGTGGGACAGCTCTTGGGAGGGTGAGGGCTGGAGCAGGCTGGGATGCAGGGCATTGGCTCCTTCTTTCTACAGCCTGTGGGCAGGCTCAGCCAGAGCATCTCTGCCCATGCATTGGGATCCCCACTTCCCCATGGAGGGCTGCTGTGTCTGGCCAGGGGCAGTGGGACTGGTCAGCATTTTTATGGGACTGTGTGGTGCTGTGTGCTCTGATGGGATGTGTACCTGCTGCCTATACCATGAGCAGGAGCCCTCCTGGTGCATTCCCACCCTATACGGATGGTTCTGTAAACTCCAAGTCTACGTAAGAGATATCAAATAGACCTCTGCCAGTACCCGCTGCATCACCCCAGTTTGCAGGACATCACAGTGGTTCCTTCCATCCAGAACCCTTCTGTGACCTCTTCCTAGGAGCCTCCACAAGCCCCTGTCAGCACTCTTTCTCCCTAACCACTTTTACAATCACCTTTGCCTCAGGACCTTGCTCTGGACTTTCCATGTGTGAAAATGGCTCTTGCTCTTGGAATACCCTTCCCTTAGATCATCTCAGCCATTCTCCCATGCACACCATGGATCTCAGCTGAAGAGTGGTGAGAACCACCAATGCCCTGGACTGCAGATGCCCCTGCTCTTTCCCTCCAGCTATCTGCATTACTTTCATAAACCAAAAGGGATGGGTGAATTCAGTAAGAATACAACGACAAATTTGTGACTGTTACCCAGGGACAGCAAGATTATTTGCTCTCTGAGGTCTGGAAATGAAAGTTTTGCTCTTTGCTTTGCTATAGTTTCCTTGGGTAAAAGCCTGGGTAAGCCCCTTTCTGCTCACTATCTCCCCTCCATAAAACAAAATCACTCTCCTGTTTTGCAGAGGCGCTGTGAGGTTATCTCATTCAGCATTTGATGTTGCAGAAGGAACTTCAGAAGACAACTACCAGCTCTTGCAAATGTATCCAACTTCTTTCCCTGTCTGTGGTATTTAATTCTCTTTGATTTATGGCTTGCTAAAAAGCCAGACCAATTTCTGCTCAAGGAAAGCTGTGTGTCCCATACAATTTTCCTCCTAAATCATCAAAACTGCAATAAAAAAGAACCCTGGAGAGGCATGCAGTCCTTGCTTCACTCAAGTGTTAATGTCCCTAACCTCAGGACTGTTCATGTGGAAAAAAGTGACACTTTTAAATAATGGGAAGAGGAGTGGGTCCATTTCACCTCAAGAAAGTGCTGTGCAAATAAAGCAGTGATATTTCACAGGGCACCATGGCCCTAGTCCTGAGCCACAGTCACCACAATGCGATGAGCCAGTTGGGGCTGCTGGGAGCTCTGGTGTTTGCATTGGCAGGTTTTTACAGAAGTGATGGGGTCACGAGGGTTATGTCCACTGAAGCCAACAGCAATGTTTATTTTCACTCTGTTGTGTAAGTCCCACTTTGTACCTGTGTAACTTGGCTGAATGCAGTGATGTAACACTGAAATAACAAAATGAGCTCAATGTTTGTTTTAGATATCACCTGCCAACCTAGAACTTTCTTAAATCTCTCTCTCGAGAAATAAAAGAAAAGGACTTAAGAGGAATGAAATAAAACCTGCAAACACTGTAATCAACGACCTGAAACATTTACTATATCAAGGCCAGATAATGCATGAGTTTTTACAGGTCTCTTGGTGGCTGCTGAATAATAAGGCATATATGTTCTTACCTTATTCTGCTTTCTATATTATTCTCATGCCACTGATAATCCTACTTCCATTGATTGCTGTTTAATGTAGCTTTGACATGACTTAAACATAACCAGTCACAGTAAATATAATGAAGGGAGATACTGAATTAAGGGCTAGTATTAAGAGCATAAGACTGGAAGACTTGGGCTCTCTTTCTGGCTTGTCCATTCATTTCTCTCACGGTCTTAGGTGATAGGTGCTATTTTGACCCTTTTTCCTTTTGTCTCTCCGTTAACAATTCTGCTAAGAAGCATTAACTCTCTGGGTCTTCACTCTCTAGGTGTCTGCCCCATGGTCTGGTGGAGTACTGCTCTATTAAAGGCAAAAAGCTCACATGCAGCCAGGGCTGAAACTACTCCCTGACTCCCAAGTCAGCTTCTCAACTGCCTCAGTGGGATGAGCAAGATCCAGGGGGTTCTGCTTTCTTCACAACACCATTGCTTTGCCTTCCCTGCCACATCCCCTGTGTTACAGCCTTGCAGCATCTTGTAACAGGAGGCACAATCAATCGTCCAGTACCCCATTGCTGTCCCTCTTCTTCTGGGGCAATACAGGAGAGAGGATGTGGAGGTTGGAAGCAAGGTCAGTACTGAGCCAAACCAGCACCCAGCTCCACACATTTTTCCCAATTTTAAGTCCCTCTCTGCTCTCTTCTGATGAAACATCAAGTTCATTTAGGACTCAAATTTCAAACATGAGGTCAAGCACCAATTTACAAACACTTCTGTGGTGGAGAGATTTCTGCTTCCAGAGACACTTACATACACACACCGGTTCATTTTAAAGAGATTAAAACAAACACCCAGCACCTAAACATTAAAAATAAAGTAAGGTGATAGTTTAGGCAGGAGCATGCCTCATTATGGGCTCTCTGATCATCTGGACCATTATTGTCAGAAAGAGAAAATAATGGTTTCTCTCTGTGTCAGGGCTGTTTCATTGTACTCAGCAGCTCTCCTGAGATCTCTAATGGTGGGGGTCAGATGGGTCCCTCTCCCACCTGCCTTAAAAGCTCAGAGTGTATGGGCAACCTGAGATCAGTCCCATGGCTTTCTGGCTTGAAGGCAACCAGAGAGAAAACACTAGCTGCTAGAAAGTTGTCCCAAAAGCACAGCTATTGGGTGGGTGCTGTGGGTGCTCTTGCTCCCTCAGCTGTGCCAAAGTAGCACCTGCCCCTGCAGCTGCTGCCTGTGGGATGGTGTGGAAACCTTCACTGCCACCAGGTGTGGGGCAGGCAGGTCTCCTCTTCCCACCCAAATCCCACCAGCACTACCTGTACAGCAGTGGCTGAAGGGGAGGGGGGCCTGGATGAACCCCAGTGTACCCTCCTTATGGCAGCAGGATCCCTTGATTATCAATTTATGCTGTGCTTCTGTTGAAGCTGTGTATTTATTTAGCTTTTTTTCAAGCTGTGCAGTTTCTCCCTGTCATCTGTTGGGGATAATCTTTCCCTCCTACACTCAAGCTGTGCCCTTTTGCTTCTGTAGAAAATAACAACCTCCTTTTACTCCTCTTCTCCTCCCCTAAGGATGGCTTTCTTTTCCCCCTACACACACTTTTTCTCCACAAAGCCCCCCAAGCTGTCGGAGCAGGGAATGGACAAAGGTGCGTGCTGTGAATTGGGGTGGAAATGCAAGACCTTGAAACCAAATCTGGGCAAAGACCTGAATTCCAGGCCACAGAGGCTGATACTGTCCCCAGCAGATGTGGTTTGCATGTGATTTGGCAGCAGAAACACACTCAGACTAAAGCCCTCAAGCCTGACATCAGAGGTGTTACAAACTCTGTGGCATGTGGGAAGGATGAGGTCTTCATATTTTTTCCCTGTTCTACCTGCATTTAACAGTGGAAATCCCAGTGTCCCTCAGGACCCAACCTTTCCAGCACCCTCATTTTGGGATCACTGGATTTTCTGGGCACGTGCTACTCACGTCCGTGACGTTCACTATCCCGATCTGTGGTCTGAACAGGTCGATCTTGAAGGTCTTCTCCCAGTAAGTGATGAGCTGCAGGAGTGACACACAAGGCTCAGTCAGGGGTGCTTGCAAGGCCCTGTGGCATCAGTTCAGTCAGCTGGGCTGGGGAGTGAGGAATGTGCATCCGTGTGTGCACGGGAGAGAGGAGAGGCTGAACGCAAGCTTGGGCTGCCACGCGTGGCAAAGGAAAGTGCCAAATCCAGAGGTGTTCCCTTCTTGGGAGGCAGACCCAAACAAGCAGCTTTCAAGGGGATGCCTGTGGTCCAGTTTCCCATCCTTCCCTGTCCCAGATTCCCTGGGGCAATTCCTGCACATGCACACCCCCTCATGCCCATCCCATCCATGAGTTAAACCAAGAAAGGCAAAAAGCCTCTGCCACTCACCAAAGGAAAGTCATCAGGGTCAATCCAAACAATGCTCAGGTCGGGATTATCAGTGTTGTCCCTGGCAACCTGCTTCAGGATTTCCAGGAACTCAAAACCATCTGGAATGATATATGAACCACTGCAACTCTCCTGCAAATGCACAGGCACTTTTTTTTTTTTTTTTTTTTTTTTTTTTTTTTTTTTTTTTTTTTTTTTTTTTTTTTTTTTTGCTTCTGGGGTTTCCAGCTTCCCTGGCTCCCCTATGCACACAGGAGTTGTTTATAGTTCTCATTAAAATGCTGTCTCCCAGTGCTTTCTTTTGATAATAAGGCTTTTAATTCCAAGCATCCTCCTCGGGTATTGAAATTAGTTACACATGAATTAAGCCCTATAATCCTTCCATGGAGTGGAACAATGTCACTATTTTCTTGTGGTGAGGAGGAACTGAGCCCCCAAGAGGCCAAATCTTTCCGATTTGCTGATGGCTCTGAGAAACATCAATGCCATGGCTTTTCAGGGGTAGGTTGCTTTGTGTTTCCCACATGCCTATCCCACACCCAGCCCTCAGCACTATCCCAGAGTGCACAGCAAGATGGATGCAGACTTAGGGAGTGAATCCTGGTACTGGGGCAGAGGGAATGACGTTTAATTTCCCAGGCAATCATCCATGTCTATCCAAAATTTGAGTCCTGGCTAGCACATCTGCTAGCATAAACATCCAGCAGGTGTTTACAATGCAAAAAAAGCATATGAAAATGCACTTTCTTGAAGGATGGAGGGTCACACAAGGAAGAAAATGGTCTCCTACCTGGATCATCTTCTTCAGCAAAAGCTACAATGTGAATACCCTCCATGTCATCCTCCTGGAAACAACACAACTATTACTGATAGGGCAGGAAGAGAGGACAGAGTTTGGGTGGTTGCTGGAGATAGGAGCAGTGGGATGCCTTCAAAAAGGACAATTACAAAGGGAGGCTAGATCCTCACTGAGAAACCAGAGATGGGAGCTGAGGGGAGGCTGACTCATAAAGGTATTTAGTGCTGAAGGAGGTAGTTTGGGTAGTGTTGCTGAAACTCTGCAGGTAAATATTAGGTGGACATCATTATGGCAATGGCAAGGGAGCTTCTGATGATGTGAGGCAAAAGCTTCTCTGCAGAAAAGGTCAAGGGCTCTCTAGGATGAGAATAGAGGCTCCCCCTTCATGTCTGAGGCCACCTACCCTCATTAATTTTCAGCTCTCAGGGGATGGTCTGCAAGGAAATAAAGGTCTGCCAAAATGCTCAGCTCCAAAACATGCTCCTTGGGGCCAGCAAAGGAGGTTTTCTGACAATATGAGAGGCAAGGTGTCTCATTTGGGTCCCTATTTGAAGGTGAAGGGTCTCTGCTTTAGGTGAGGGTCTCTGTGAGCAGTGAGGGAAATTGAGTGGGGGGCTCATTTCAGAGCTCCAATGAGGGGAGGACAGAAATTACAGCCCGGTGGATTACTTTTCTCCATGAAACACATGAGTAATGATATTGGCAAAGGCCAATGGATCTGCTGGCCAGTTCATCATCTGCCTGCTATGAATGTCATCTTTGAATTATCCCATGGATCGGTTTCGCCTTCCTCACCCGCTGTCGGTCCCAGTTTCTATTTCAATTGGTTTTAATACAAGAAAAAATTCCCATCTAAATGCTAATTTCTTTTCCCTTCTGAGACCAGAGGTGACAAAGCCACCATCAAATAGTGAAAGGGAAAAAAACCCTGAAAGATTAAGTGGAAAACATTATCTTTAAAAACAATAGCGGATGCTCAGCCTTTGTGGACGTCTTCAGGGAATATGTTTTCACCAGGACATTCCAGGCAGATTTATTGGGATTCAGACCACATTTAGCTGGCAAAATTTACACTGTTGCTTTTTCTTCATATTCACCAGCAGCATTGTCAGACAGCAAAATAAAAAGTATATATATATATATGCCATATATAATTACATGTATCTACCGATGTAATGCAGCTCTATTCAGGCCTACAAGGCAGCAAACAAAAGTGGACTAACTCCAGTGAAAGCAGTGAAGATGTTGTGAACTGGCAGTGAGATCAGAATCCAGCCCTCTGTCTTCTCTAGTTATGAGCCCACTGCTTGTAGCAGAGGCAAGCTCTGTATTCCCAGGCTGCTGGTTGAGCAAGCATCCCACCAATGGGAATTCACACTTTTCATGAGGCTATTTGAGAATATGGTCCATATGAAAGTGAAACCACTGCACATGTAATTTGGGTCTCACTGAAACGCCATTAAAAAACCTTGGAGGGGCTTTGGTGGATCTTTGAAACTGTTTTCTATAAAGAATCTGTATTTCAAAACAAAATGAAAAGCTATTGTGCCTAAGTGACTAATAACTCCTGGTTCAGCTTTATTACCTCTTGCCTTGCTGTATTAAAGACTCCCAAGGTTTTTGCCACTTTAGAGTCCTGTGGTGTTTCATGTTACACAGCCAAGATGGGGACATCTAAATGCTGTTGTAAATGTGTCAAGCCTTTTGGAAGAATGACTGCATCTTCCTTAGTGTCTGTTAAGCACCTGTTCAGCTTTGTTTTTCAGCATTCCTCTGGCACTTGAGAGCCCCTGACTAGCTTTCAACACCATATTCACTCACAGCGAAGGGATAATTTGTTACACACAATTTTTCTTTCATTTTCACCCTTCTCTTCCCCACCCGTGCAGACCTCGAGAGTCCTCTGTGTGCGATAAGGGACAAAATTCTGGTTGGTTCTTTAGAGTTGCTGATTTGCATCTTATTTGCACTGTGAGAAGTGCAGTCAATGCACGATCTGCTTTGAAATCTGTATAATTAACTGTACTGCCTGCCTTCACTTACATTTTGAATTGCACAACTACTCTGGGACTTTCATAAGGACATGTAGTGATAGGATGGGGGTGGATTTAAACTGAAAGAGGGTAGATTTAGGTTGGATGTTAGGAAGCAATTCCTTACTGTGAAGGTAGTGAGGCACTAGAACAGGTTGTCCAGAGAAGTGTTGGATGTCCCAGTCCCTGGAAGTGTGCAGGGTCAGGTTGGACGGGGCTTTGAGCAACCTGGTCTAGTGGAAGGTGTCCCTGCCACAGCAGGGGACTGGAACAAATGATCTTTAAGGTCCCTTTGAGCCCAAACCAGTCTATGGTTCTGTGAGTTTCCATGAGACATCTGCACAATCTCCATAGCTCACCCAGTGAGCAGGCCACAGAAATCACCCCACCAGCAGCTCTGGTGTCCTCAGCACCTAGCTGAGATGGGGCATCCTTGGTCAGGATCACTACACTGGCCCCACACCTGCCTGGCACACTGCTTAGCTTTCCCTCTTCCTCCTGTGAAGCAAGCAGGAGTCAACCCAGCTCTCCATCACTGCTGCACAAAGCCTTGGAGCACCCTGTTTGAACTGAGGCTCTAGGCAGTGCAGACAAGGCTTTCCCTTTTTCCCAGAAGAGAGAGAATAACTTTGCAAGGAAGGAAAGGTTATGTTTTGCCCAGGCAGAGGCTAGAGCTCTTGAGCAGCAGTTTCTTGTTGGAAGCTGGCAGGGGACACGATGGTTCCCATCCCATGTGCTTACCCACGTCTCAAACATGTCCTCTGGGCGCAGCTTCCTCAAGGTGGCTCTGAAAGGAAGACAGAAATGTTCTTTGAGGACATATCCAGCACTGCCACATGTGACACTGTCAGCAGCATGGGAAAAGTCACCATGGCACATTTAGCCGGTGGCTGGAGCTAGCCACCACATTTTGAATGCAAAAATGGGGGCACTGTAGGTCAATTTATGCTTTTATTTTTGGTGATAAAACCCTGCCCATGGCCCCGCTGAAGTTACTGCAGCCACTGTTTTTGCTTGGGAAGATGAGACACCTCTCTGTGCTGGGATGTGCTGATGAATTAGTCCCACACATGGCAGACTGTTCTGTGCTGCCACAGCTCTCTCCACAGAGAGGAGCAGGCACAACTTTCCCAGGCATTGTCCTGAAGAAGGCTGTGAGAAGATCAGAGAAAAGAATGAGAAACAATTCTTATCTCCACTTGCTGCACCTGTTATTGTGCACATGTGGAATGTGTTATGGAGATTTGTTTGCTAAAGGGTGATTTCTTAATTGGCCACTGGTGATGGTATTTGGATTTCAAGGACCAATCTGGTCTGTCTGTATCTGACTGTCTGAAAGGATGATTAGTTTCTTAGTCAGTATAGTATAATATAGTAGAATAAAGTGATTGATCAGCCTTCTGGAACCATGAGGTCAATGCTAATTATTACCCAGCTGGAGGCCTGTGGCGACAATTCTGTCTGTGCTGAGACCATGAGACCACATTCACTTTTTTTTTTTTTTTTGAGTCTCTGGAACATTCCTAATGGGCTCTGTCCCCCCTTTCTTCTGGTTTCAGAACAGAAATCTTTCCCACCTCTGCTAAAGCAAAGAAGACAGAATTAACTCTGGGAAGAAAATTTGGTTCCTAACAACCACTGACAAGAAAATTTAAGCCCTAATTCTGGTCAAAGCAATTTTTTTTGAGAAGTAGTTCATAAAGGAAAAAATATTCATTTTCAGACTTGGCTGTAGCAGGAAGCCTGGCAGGCTGTTGACTGTGGTGTTAGAGGGACACCCAAGGAACACAAAGCCATAGGAGACAAACACAAATCATCCTTTGCACATCTGCTTGCTGTGGTATCAGCTGTTTGGAGAGGATCCCCCAGCAGAGCAGGTCTCCCTGGCTGACCTGCCCCAGGACCTGCTGCAAAGAGAAGTGTCAGTGTGTGAGGTTTTAGAACAGATTGGTAGGAGTGGTAGCATGTTGGCAGAAACAGGTAGTATAAGTGAGATGTCACTTCAGTTTGCCTCACAAACAGAGCAGTGGAAACAAGGGAACATTTTTAGAGGTTCCTAAAGCACCTGAAGAACCACAGAACTGAATTCCAGTTAGATCAGAGGAGGAGAATCTCCTGTGGATAAATAACATTGAAAGGTGGAAATGAATGGTCAGTCTTCATGACAGAGGGAATTTACCAATTAAGATTCATAGCATATTCTTTGGCACGATCATATGCATAACATAACCTCACATAATCTGAAAAAGATGGGAAATAGGAATATGGCAGCATTTGCCTATCATATCCAATTCTTTGGCAACCAACAAAGGCCTGACTATGAGTTGATACAGAAGATCTCTTGAGACTTGAGTGTCTGCATGATAGACAGACATATAGCAAGTAACACACTTGCAGAAAATCAGAGCTGATTGTACAGGTGCAGCAATTGGTTCTAAATTAGATGTAATTAATTTTTGCCTCTCAGGAAAGGGGCCCAGGTGTCACAAATTGAGAAAGGATCAGCTCCAAAGGAAAAAGGCCAAAAGAAGGTTGCAAACAGTTGGGAAATGGCCAGGGAGTAAAACAGACCATTATGGCAGTGGACAGCTACACTGTGAGTCTCCATAGTGAAGTTATTTGCAGTTCTGGTCATCCTATCCCAGAAATGATATGAACAACTGAAAAAGGCACTTGGAAGTGTGGGAGTGGTAAGTGAAGGTATGGAAGGCCCTCTATTTGATGAAGATTAAATAGATAATAATTCTTTATCTTGTGGCAGAGATGACTGAAGAGGATTTTGGCAAATATGCTAAAAAATGGGAATGGTAAAGAAAACAAGAATTGTTTAGAACATGGCCAAGGCTCTAATAATGTCAAGGTTGCAGATTTGATCCCTGCACAGGCCATTCACTTAAGAGTTGGACTTGATGATCCTTATGAGTCCTTTCCAACTCAGAATATTCTGTGATTGTCTACCTACCTTAAGTATTAATCATTGTTCCTCTTAAGAAAGAGATAGTAGGTGCCCAGAGATATTATTAGGTAGCAGGTGTAAACGAAACAAATAAGAATGGGCTTTTAATAACAATGCATATTTGAGCTGCTGAACTCGTTGCAATTTGGTACATTCAGCATCAAAACAGAAATATGGTAAAAACAGCTATAGAAATGGAAGAAATAGCCACTAAACACAAGATCAGGGATACAGTTTTTGAACCAGCAAATCCTTTCATTGTTGATGATACTAAACTAGAGATTAAATCAGGTGAATGCATATTATGTATTTGGCTTTTAAGATACTTTTCCTAGCTATTCTCTGGGGGAAGCTCTTGGAGAAAGGAAACTCAGTGGGAAGGGTCTGGCCTCACCCACATGCACTGATGGCTGTGTTGACTCTGGATACTTCCCTGCGTTGGAGGAGTGAAGCAGCTGGGGTTTGGGTAAATAAGAGAGAGCAGAATTCAGCCCCCATGAGGCTACACCACAACTACAGAGAAGTGGGGGTCCTACCCTGGCATTTTGCATGTGAAAGAGGCATCACCCCAGAGGACTGCACCATGTAATTTCTGTTTATGCAACTGAGAGTGAAATCTTGGCTGAGACCTTGGAATGGCAGTGATCACTATGCTCAGATGGACACCCATCTGTGCAGCCTTGGATTGGTCACCCCATGGTGCTGAGCACCAGCTTCCTGACCTTCTTCTGTGGAGAGGATGAACTTTCCCCCCACAGCCTGCAGCTGCCCAGCTGAGTTGTTATAGGGAACCAGCACATGGCACCTGCTGAGGTTGCTCCATTTTAATCTACAAATCATCTCCATGTCTGTCTAATTCCAGCCTGTGGCTTTAGGTCCTTTACTGGTGGCAAGGCAGCATGAAACACTTCTGCTCTGAGAAGCTCAGCATGAACTACTGGGAACATATTGCTGTCACTCCCGTCTTCTTCCCCTGCCATGGAGCACCTTGTCAGGTTTGGGATTTCAGACATATTGTTTTATGGACTCCTTTTAATTGTTTTCTGAGCTTTGGTACTTGCAAAATACATGCCCACCCCCTTGCTTCTACCAAGCATCACAAAACATCCTGAAATATCTAAGACTTGGGGAAATTCCACTGCAAGTTTGTGCTGGTGAGAAGTTTGCCTTATTGGGATATAATTTAGATGGCTGTGTTTAATCAGCTTTCTGATGCTGCTTGACAGAAGGAGCTTGGGGAAAAGAAAATGGGAGGGACTAAGGCCAAGAAGCCTAGAAGGTCAGCAAAGTGAATTGTGGGTACATGGAAGATAGAGGAGTCCTTCATATTTCAGAAAAAGCAGAGAACTGTTTCTGTTGAGTCTCAGATTCTGGAGATGATCTCCTGTCTGTGTCAACACAGACCTCCAGCTGAGCCTGATTTGACATGCCCCCTCTATATAGATGGCCTTGCTTTCCTCAAACTCATCTGGCCCCTTGATTGTCTGCTGAGAAGTGCAGTTGTAGGAGCAGCAGGTAGCCTGTGTCACTCTCCTGAGAGGTGTTTCTAAGGGTATAAAAATACAGCACCTCCAGGCAGTTGTGCCCCTCCACTTAACCCTCTGCTTTTACACAGGATCAGCCTCTCCAGTGACTTCCAGACTATTTTTGTAGCTGAGTCCCTAAGCAACTGTGCAATAAACCTGATTGCAAAAAGCACGAGCATCCACAGCTCCTGCCGAGTTGATCAAGCACTGTAGGTGCTCAGCATTGTTCCTATAACACAGCTGTGGCTTCTTCTCTGTGCCTAGAGTCAGCAGGAGCCTCTTAGTCCATTGTGGCTCCTGTGAGTTTGGTCTGAGCTGAGAGATTGCCTCCAGACATGTCTGACATCAGGAGAGTAATACACCCATTAGTAAAGCTGCTTTCGGGAAGGAGGAGATTGGACAGGATTTGGATTTGGCTGGAGAGGGTCATCTTCTGTACAGACCTAAATTAAAATCATGGGCAATTAGGGCAAGGATTTCACTCTCCACTGCCTTCCAACCTCACTGCTTTTTGAATGAGGACTAACCAGGGAGGAGAAAGAGCAGGAGGAGGGAAGCTGTGTTATCCCAGCTCCCTTGTGGTGAACTATTACTGCTGCACAGATACTTGCACCTCTGGGAGTAGGAAAAAAACAGCAATTTCACAATTTCAAACCTGGGTCAGAAAATCATCAAAAGTGGTCATCATCCTAATGTTTTTTGACAGTGATGCCCTAGAGAGGCAAGGTCACAATGACAGACACCTTAACCCACTTCCCCTGTCCAGGAGCATCCTGTATGCTACGTACCTTCTGTGCTCTCTCACAAAATCAACCAGCTCCTCTTCTGAGTAAGGCTTATCAGGGATGTGAACAGGCTCATCCATAAAGGGTTCATAGAAGTCCACCTCATTCATCTTTAGGCCCAGCTTCTTGGCAACCTGTTGCAGTGCAGAAGTCACAGGTGAGAGAGCCTGATGTGCCTCTTTGCCTACCCAGAGTCTTTTCTGCTGGCAGAGCTGAGATCAAGGTGCTTCTCCCAGAGCATGCACTCCTAGGGATGGCCCACAAAATAGAATGGATCTCTCCTTGTTTAAAAACCCACTGATTCCCCCTACACTACTGGTGTCAAGCAGTGGGGCAGAGCAAAGCCACAGCCTGTTGACCTAGAGAGGCTGGGTTCCAAACCCACATCAGGACCTTCTGCCTCCATGCTGCAGAAATTGCCTTTTGTCTTGCAAGATATCAATGGGCCAAGATATCAATGCAGACACCAACACCACAAAATCCAGGAATGCTGAAAATGAGAAGCTGAAAGCAGACAATAGATCTGGGAACATTCTGAGCTCTCAGCAAACAGGTGGTGGCATATGTGAGCTACCATGAAGACGTGTGGATGCTTACCCCTTTGTCAAAGGTGGCAAAGAACTTGACGTAGGGCTGGAATTGTTCAGCAGCTTCTTCAAATGCCTTGAAATCTGGAAGGAGAAAAGGGGAATGAAGAAGATATTTCAAAGACAGCTGGCCACAATCTGATCAGCCCAGAAGATATTGAGGGAAGAACAAATAGAAATTATTGCAAACTCCATCAGATGATTGCCTAGTGTTTCTTCCACCCTTTTGGGGTTTACAAAGAAGGATGATTTCATGTGCAGCAACCAAATGTGCTGTGCAGTCCTGCAGTGTTCAGGAAAGCTGCAGAACAGCATGCCACACTTAACTGGGGCTGAAATCAGCAGCTCTGTGAAGCAGGTCCAGGGGGGTAGTTCAGCCTGGGAAATCCTGGAGTTGCTCCAGTATTAGGTATTGCTGCCATTCCATAAACAGTCACCAAGTGTGGTCAGGCAGTCTTTTCCCACTGCAGGAGGATGGGGCAAGAGCCAGGTAAGTTTTGCTGTAACTGCTACCAGGTCCTCCTGAGCCTCAGGGTGAAGGAAAGATGCTCTCAGCCTGGCAGGGGATTTTACAACAGGCATTTCCCACCTTCCTTCCAAGTAGTTATTTCTGAACAGTATTAGGGTCACAGCCCTGTCCAAGCTGCCCTGCAGCCCAGTTTGAGAAAGATGAAGGGAGAGGTGGGTGGGCTGTTGCATTGAAGACCTGGTGATATGTGGCTTGTTTACCTAGGAACACCTGTCCTTCTGCTAAGGGCAGGGCATGCCAGCGTGGGATGCACACTGCCAGCACTGCCCAGATAGCAGGGAGAGCACCTGGGCTGTGGGGCAAGAACTGTGGGGCTTGACAGGGAGATTCTCGCGTGAGAATTTTTCTAGGCTTGTGAAAGTTGGGTTTGCCCAGAATGGTCCCTGAGCTGCACATCCCTCAGGGCATGGGACCAGCCTCTTCCCACTCTTGGGGCTCAGCAAGGAGGAACAGGCCAGTGCCTCTGCCAGGCTGCCCCCAAGGGCCCTGCTTACTGCTGCTGTATGTTTGCAATGGTATAATATTTAATGTGTGTCCCCCTTTCCCTTCCCTCCTTCCTTCTTTGATCCTTTGAGCTCACTGCTCACAAGAAGGGGCACTTTGCTCCTTTTAGTTGCTTCTCACAGTGTAACTGTGTGTAACTGAGCTGCTCTCTCAGCTGATTTTTGGGTGAGGTAAACTCACTTTACTGCAGGAACCCCTGGATTATGGCCCTCCTCTCTTGCCAGCAGACACTTTGCAGAAGGGTCACCGATGTTGGTGTAGGACTGGGCTCATGCATTACACCAGCAGAAATTTGGCTGCAAATGCACTTATCCCCCAGCAATTTTCACAGGCTGCCATATATCACACCACCCTTCATGTTCATGCAGAACAACCAGTGCCCATCCCCTAGAGCTCCCAGGCAGGCTCCAAGGAGGAACATGTTTATCTTACGTTCTGAGTCTTCTCCCTTGAAGTAGCCGATGAGTTTGATTTCATCGTCGATCTGGTCAAAGGCCTGAAGCTCCAGCTTGCTGTTTATGACCTCCACGGGGTCTTCTAGCAACTGCCATGACAAATGCATGTGGTAACACAGTGATTTGCAGCACCAACCTATGCGTGGCAGGGTGTGTCACAAGCAGCCTAAGCAGGGAGAAAGAGGTCACCCAATTTCTCTGCTGTTGGAAACCCTACTTAGTGCTCTCTGCCTTAATGTGAGGAGCTGAGAGAAGAGGGTCACCTTCAATGGGAGATGTTCACTGCAGAGGTGGAAGCATTGAGAGGAGGCTGGTAGAGGACTAGGTAACCCAAATGAATACTGAGGGACCTACTTTGATGAGGGATAAGGAGTAGCAATTGCAGCTGGCTTTAAGGAGGCCAAGTTGAAAGGAGCTGGTGTGATCATTGTGAACATCTATGAATGATACCTGTGTATCTAAATCTATTTTTTTTTTCAAGTGTCATTTGCTGGAAGAGGTCATTGCAAAGATCTTGCTTTTGAAAAACATTAAAACCAGCATGCTGGAGGGTAGCCAAACAGTGGTTTGGAGCAGTATAAAGTCTGGATGTGAATTTTCCTGGCTGGTCCTCCTCCTGTGCAAAATAGTTACAACCTATTCTTTGGTCCTGCACACATCACAATGTTAATGAGGATGTTGCAAGACCTGTCTGGCACTTCAGACTCTCATTGATCCAAACTTTGTTTCTCTTTTCTTAACTAGTCATTGCTGGTGAAAAGGTTCAGTCTGATTATTTTGCCCAGCAATAGTGGTATAAATCAAGTGTGTTTTCACTAGAAGAAAAAAAAACAGGCAAGCCACTGCCTACAGAGGAGTAGAGAACCTCTGGGTTTCTTCTGCTTTTCAGATGAGACTGCCAAGGCCCCACAGATGTGTCTGGTTTTATTTTCTTGCTTAGCCAGGTATTTTCTGAGTGGAAAACATAAAACCAGAAATCCATGCTCTCTTTCTTTTTTCACAGAACATGATTTTTCAGTGACACAATGCATGGCATAGCAAGCAAAACCTCACTAAGTGCCTTACAGCATCCTTGAGAGTGATGCTGTGGTGTGAGGCTGTGCCTTTGCTGTGCCTGCAGCAGCATGTGCAATTTCCTGCTGCAGTAGTGGCCTGAGCCATGGGAACCTGGGATCCCACTGCTGCAGGGTCATGGCAAAGCTCTTCCCTGCCTGTGATCCTTATGGGTAGGGCCCATAAGTCCCTGAAGCCACCTGCATGTGTTTTGGTCACTATACCTGGTGCACACAGCCACAGACATTGTCATGGGAGAGCTGAGGTCCTAGGGATCTGTTTTAATTCTCTGGCCATGCCTCTCCTCACCAGCAGTCCTGAACCACAGGTGACTGTGTAGGTAACCTGTCACCCTGGGAAACAAACCCTGCCAGCTCTCCTGATCACCTTACCTCCCTTATCTGCATTACTGCATGGCCACTTAGAAAGAAAGCCTCACTTCAAAGGAAAGCCAAGCCACTGCAAAATGTTTTCATTTATAAAGCAAAGACCATGGGTTTTGTTGCCTCTCCTAAGAATAAAATGTAAATAAAGAGAAGTGTGACATGTAGATGTGGGATTCAGCATCACTTTGCATTTAGGCACAAAGGTGAATACCTCATTGTGCCCATGCACAAAAATGACCCAGGACCATTTAGTTCTAGGACCCTGTTCTCCTCTCACTCGTGGCAGTGCAATTTGGCAAGTTCACTGTCTAGAAAGGGGCAAATAGTTTGCAATATAAGCCTTTTTCACTGAGCTCTTTTTAGTTGCTCTATGAGAACCCTACTTCTTGGATATTGTTTTTTTGAAAATAGCTCTTTAAAAAAAAATAAAAAAGAAAGCATGAAAGATTATGCAAATGGCAAAGTGTTTTCACACAAGATTGCTAAGTGAGGTGGGTGAACAGCAGTCAGTTATAAGGATTGTAGCTGATTTCCATTCAAATACTCTATATAGGAAATAGGGGAGGTTGTCTCTAAGATATAAGGTATTTAGTGGTATATAAGGGTACCACATTTCCTGGGAGCTCATGGTCAGACAGGTATTGGGGAAGATGCCAAATGCCATCTCTACCAGTGAATAGCAAAAAGGGATGAAATTTCAAACAAAGGTATGCCTGTTTTTTTAGCAAACTAAGTATTTGCAGGGTCTTCTCTTAGAGGTTTTATCTAGCTCTGAGCTTATCTGTGCTTACATCTAAGAGGAATTCCACCAAGACATCTGCAGACAGTTCCCCATCAAATTCAACCAACCGCTCGTCCTTAAAGACATAGAGACTTCCCTCTTCAAGCAAGCCTGAAAGAAGAAGAGAGGAAACAATAACTGGTTAACATGTTGTTAAAAACATGTTTAGTGCAGAGTGTCTTCCTTGTTATCCCAGCAATTCCTCCTGGAAAAATGCAATTGCCAATATGCTGTGTTGGTCTAGTTAGAAACAACCTGAGTAATGACACAGGGGACAAACTTCAGCCAGAACTGGTGCAAACTTCTTCCCAAATGTTGAACTTTTCATTCAGGTCACAGTTTGGTCTCAACTGGAAAAGTTCTGCACCAGAAACTTGTTTTAGCTTGGCTGTCTATCTTGCAGTAAATACTGGGCTCTAACTGGCAGCTCAGAGTTTAACAACCTGTCACTATATGGAAATTGGATTTTGATTTGGGTTGTGCTCACTGTCCAGAGAAGGCTGAACTATGTGAGCATCACCAGTGACCTGAAAGTGAGCTTCAAACTGTCTGAGGCTTAGCTGGCCTTGGCAAAAGTGTTAGAAACCAATGATAGGGATACTACAGACTGCAGGGTGACAGATTTCAATGCTCTGTCATCAGACTGAGGACCGAGTGCCACAGAACCTTGTTAGAGGCTCCAAAATCAAAAGCACTGGTCTCCTGTGATGCAGGATGGCAGGGTACCACTGGCCAAGGAGGTTGGTAGTTTGTTCCTTCTTGGAGAGGCAGAAGCTCTTGTCTTTAGTTTAGCTCCCATTAGCACTCACAGCCTCCAATTTAAGAAAGAAAATGACAGTCCAGTATGCTTAAACCTTAGGTTTAGTGGTATATTTGTGTACTGTTGTATTAATGTGGCACAGTATTTCCATATTGCTTTGTGAGCTAAAATATGAAGGGAGCTTCCCCAGGAAGGCAGCTGTGTCCAGGGGTGAGCAATGCAGCACCCTTCCACCTTTAGAGCAGATTTCCTTTTTCACTCTGGGGAAAAAGCCAGAGTGATTGGCACCTGACTGCCAAACCACTGCAAGGCTGTGGCTGCCCCAGCTGTTGACAGGGGTTACTGGATCATGGGGCTGATGCCATTTGGGGGATTAAGTGTTTTCCCTGTATGTTCTGGTTCTGCACTTCTGTGTCAGTCCTGTCTCTGTGTTGGAAGAGCAGGAAGTTACTTCATGGCACCTATTTACTATTTCTGCACAGAAAGCTGTGAACTTACACCCTGTCATCATTACAGCATGAACTGACTTTCTTTTTCACTTGGTTTGTTTTTTCTGGAAGGGTCTTGGCTTGTCTCTCTCATCCTCACCCCCACCCGATCCTGCCCCTGTTGGGATGGGCAGATGGTCAGTGTGCAAGTGCCACCATCATCCTCCCCATCCTGGTAACAAGGATTTGGCTGATGGGACTCCCATGGACACATCACTCCCACAGTCTCTCCATACTATTCCAGAGATATCAGACCTGGGACTCACCTAACTTTTTGGCAAGCTTGGCATCCTTCTTGGAGTCCACCATCCCAAAGCCAATGCTCCTGGGCTCCAGGACCTGAGCTGCCAGCTGTGGGAGGAAGCAGAGAGCCCAACATTAGTAGTGTTAACACCACAGGGTAGCTAAAGGGCATCATGCCCTGCCAGCATGACGTGACAGACACAAGTGACCCATATTCTGCTGTTGAACAGCACCAATGAGTGGGATGTGTCACATGCTGCCTCGCTGCTGAGATAACCCAGAGGTCACAAGGGTTGGGTTTCTTCCCATTGTGTTGCAGCAGGGAGTTTGCTGGCACTACTGTGTGCTGTTTGACACTGGCCTCAGGAGAGGGCTCCTGAGTGAACTGGGAGCACCAAAGCAGGAGGGATGGCTGGAAGGAGGGGTGGCTGTGCCACCAACACAGGTGGCCTTTGCTCTGTGGTGCCTTGGTGGCCTCCTGCAGGGTGTGTGATGTGGGCACCATGGACATTTGAACTCTGGAAGTGCATGGTGCCAGGCAGCAGTGTGTGCAGGACTCTGCAGTGTCATGTTTTCTTCCTGCATGTGGTGGGGTGGCCAAAGCAGGCTCCTTTTCCTATAAAGTGCTTGAAGTCATGCCTCCTTTAGTAAGCCCCTAGATCCTGGTCCCCTGTTTTTACTAAAGAAATGCATCTAAGCCCAGCCATGCTCATGTTCATGTTCTCACAGCTTTGTGAAACCACTGCACCCTATTCCCACCATCTTTGATGAAGGGGCCTCTTGAAGATATTGAGTTCCTGCCTGTTTTGTGAAAATAGATATGCGAGGAAAGGAGAGACGCTCTGCAAGGGCCTGGTGGTGAGAGCAACCCCGGGTGAGACCCTGTGAATTCCAGGCTCCCAGAGATGCACTGACCCTGGTAAATAGATCCACTTGTGCACTGGATGACTGACAGCCCCACCACAAGCATACTAGAGACCCTACAAGGTAGTAATGATGCTCTGAGAACCACCAAGCAACTGTAAGAGCCTTCTCCTCCTCCCTCTCCCTTCCTGCTGCACAAATGCCTCTGATGCTGATGGTCTTCTTGCTGTTCCTCCTCCCAGCCTTGCCGGATGGTGGGGGATGATGGAGATGAGGGGTCAGGAGCCTCTGGGGCAGGAATATCCCTATTAGGGCACAGCTGTCAGTGCTTGGCAGCAGGAGGCTGGAGGGGGGCAGAAGAAAGCCATGGCCAGAGAGATGGTGGGTTGATTTATGAGGAAGCTCCCCCCCTGCCCCGGCTCATTTTAGCTCCCTCCCCCAGACTCAAAGCCAGTTTGAATGTCACCCAGCGGCACTGCCACCACAGCCACGTGGTCCCTTGGCTCCCCTGCTATAAATAGCTTCTGCCCATGCCAGGCCTCTGTGAGAGTGAGCCGTGATTAGAGGCTTTGGGGGGGCAAAAGTGGTGGGGGCTGCCACCTCATCTGTGCAACAGGGTATTGTAAAATGCAGTGGGAAGAAATTATGATGTTCAACTCTCGTTCAGAAGGCTGGATGATTTCTTTATTATAACTATGCTATAATACATTAATATATGATATAAAAGAAGAACCTAAAACTACATACTTTCTAACTACCATCTCTAACTCACAGCTCATGACCCTGTTCTTGAGAGTCCCAACACAGGATTGGATTGGCCATCAGGCTCAAACAATCCTCACCAGAATCCAATCAAGAAATCACCCCGGTAAACCATTCTCCAAGCACATTCCACATGAGAAAAACAAGGAGCAGAAATAGAAATTGTTTTCTCTTTCTTCTCTCTGTGCACCTCTATGAAAAATCCAGAGAGAGAGAAGAATGTTTCTGTGACAATGGGGTGTCATGGGGCCAGGCAGCTCCCTGTGCTGTCAGCCTGTCCCTGAAGTTCTGGGGGATGGTGGCAGGCACCCTGGCGATCAGGGCTTTTTGCTTGAGCAAAAAGGAGAGATGGAGAATGTAGTTGTTTTCCCCCTTCCACCAATTACATGTCCTCAGGGCTGTCCCAAAGCCCTCCAGGAGGAAAAAAGACTCTACTGACCACCACAGCATTGCTGCAGCCTTGATCCCCCTGCAGCCACCTACCCTGTTGTCTTTAGGGACAAATGCCACCATGGGAGGCAAAAGGGGTGCCTGTGTTACACAGGAAATGAGTGTCAGTGCTCTTTCCCTGCTCTTTGCCAGTGCTTTGAAATGAAGGTAGGGCTGCAGATTCAGGGCTTGTTCTTACAGTGGACAGTGCCTGAAAGGGGCAGAGCACTTTGTGTTTGTGCATCCATTAATTAGGTTGATAAGGCACTGGTGTGGTTTGAATCCCATCTGGTGGCTCAGGCCACCTTAAAGCACCTGAGAGCAGCTGGAGCCCCATATTTGCAATGGGAGATGGATGCCTCTTGTGAACTCTCTAGACATCTGCAAGTGAGCTGTGGTAAGAGAAGAGATTTTATGTTTCCCTTTATGGAGATCTGCCCTGACTGGACAAAAGGATGGAGCCTGTAGGATCATCAGCTTTCTGGGACATTGTCAGCACGTCCCTGCTTGGTGGTGGTTGTGTACACCAGCAAGAGGTTCCTGACAAACACCACTTGAGGCTCTGGCTGCTCTGTGTCCAGAGGAAAACACAGAATGGCCAAGGGAAGAAGACTTGTTCAGTCATGTCCAGTCCAGTACATACATGATTTAGTTACAGCTATGTCAGCCATGTACCAGGGCAGTTTAAGCCCAATAGTTCTTGACTCCTGCACACAGGAGATGGTTAGGGTTTCTTGTGAGTTTTTGAAGGTCAGAAATATGCAGAAAAGCTGCAACACCTGCTACAGACAAGTGGTTGGATGTGTGCAAGAGAGGAGGCATTGATCAGGAGTCATGTATGTCAGCATGCAGCACACGCAAGGCAGCTCTTCGGAGGGGTGTGGGTGCAGTTCTGTAGCTGTGAGCATGGAAGCTTGCTGGAAAAGAGTAAGACTGTCAAGAAAATGTGGGTGATGTGATGAAAGCCTCTTTGTGTGAGACTGTGGGAGTGCTCAGTAGTCAAAAATGGTCTCAGTAATGCTGGAGGTGTTCCTGTTTGTGTGGCAGGGCTTGTGTGAGTGTGTCTAGCAAGACTGTCTCCCAGAGGTGTATGTATAGTGGGTGTGAGTGTTTGGAGGTGTCCTTTGAAAGGCTCATCCCGAGATGCGCAACAGTTTGGGCATATAGGAGAGTGCTTGTGTATGGTGTGTGAGTGTGCCTGAGGGGGCAAAACTGGGAGCTCAGTGGGCAGCCTGCCTCCTCTGCAGGGACCTTCATGCCAGGGAGACAATGAGAAGAACAGAACAGCCTGAGCTCCTCTCCAGAGCAGGGTCTCACAACAAGCAGGTCTTTGTGCAACATGAGACTTTCGAGAGCCCTTCCCATTGTGGCAGAGCCTGGAGGCAGGAGACTTTGCAGGGTGTTTATGGTGGTTTTGCAAGTGCAAGCTGTGCAGGGGCTGGGCATTGCTCCTGGCCTTGCTTTCTCTGCTTTCCACTGCAGCAGGTGAGTCTAACCCCTGCATAGGTGACAATACATTCCCACACCTATATTTGAACCCCAAAAGGCAGCAAAATAGGGAGCATGCCAGAGGAACAGCAGTTTGGCTAATTTCCCCCTACTCATTACAGTATCAAGCATTTATATATCCCCTTACAGTATTTTCTGATTCCATAATGCTAGTGGGATTTGAATGCAGATAATGTTTCTAATCTTGACAATCCTCTTGGCTCAGGACCTTGGGACAGAGGCATCTGTAATCTAAGAGCACAGCCCCTCCTCCTCCTGCTTTTAAATTCATATTGCTCGAAGTCTTGGCCAGCCAGAGCCCTTGCCTTTGTGTCAGCCTCTATCTCTACAGCACGTAGCTTCAACAGCTGCACAGAGACATGGAGGGTAGAAACTGCCCTGGAAGAACTGGACATAACAGATCCTGCAGTCTCTGATGTAGAGTAGGAGTTTTGGGCTGGCAGAGTTGGCTGAGAGCATGAGCAAAGAGCCCAGTAGGTTGTAAGTGCATGTCCCATGCACATTTTGCAGCCTTATTCTCATGTTCATGAAATCTTCGCAATGCATACTTTCTACCCATAGGATCCCAAGCTGTGTCCTGTGCAGCAGAGATGTGAGTTTTGCAGCACTACTCCTTTCTCCATATCCCTCTGGTAATAACTATACTTGAATCTGGGTGAGTGTCAGGGGGTGAGTGGCCCTCTGGGATGTGTGGGAGGTTCAGCCCAAAGTGAAGCTTGAGTACTACCAAGTATGCAAGAATCCTCTCATCCTGGATGGTGTCAGCAGTTACAGGTACTCAGAATAATGGGTATGGAAAGGCACAGCTCTCTGCCCAACATCTCAGCTTCACTCCCACTGCACCTATCTGAGCCAAGCTGTGATGCTGGGAAGTTTTGGGAGATTTAAGCAGTCCTATAGGGTCATTCTGAAATTCTAGGTTATACAGAAGCAGAAATGTCACTGTCTGCCTGACCATGCTCCTATTCCTGGTGCAGGCAGCACTGATAGTGCCAAACCTTGCACTTGTCAGTTTTGCTGCTAAGTGGCAGACAAAAATCCCTCAGAGAGGGTTAAAAATGGGCTTGGAAGCGGTGGCTGCCTCAGTGACTGCATGGTCAGTTTTCATTGTGAAGTGACATTATGAATTTCTGGCCTGGGTTTTCTTCCCACTTCTCTAGCACCTGCCCAGAGCTCCCACAGACAGTAAGGCTCATCTTTCTCAGCTGCTCAGGCTTGGGAGGAAGGGCTGGGGACATTTGGGTGTCTCCAAAAGCCATCATGAGTACACTTCTCTTAACCATGGGGAGCTTTCTGGTTTGCTATTTAGCAGTGGAGGAAGAAAAAAAAAAAACTCCAGCAGTGCAAGGAGAGCAACAGGAAATGATGAGAAAACATCCCTCAAGGAATCTACACTCCTCTGCTGCTTCTCTTCTACTCTCTTTAATGCTGCAGTTGATGCTGATGGTCAGAAGCTGGTTGATAAAATGATGATGATTTTTTATTCCAAAATGTTAGGTTTTTATTTTCAGAAAGAGCAAGGGGAGATGGCAAGGCTTTAGTGT